CGCGGCTTGCTTCTCTGGCACCGGGCGGGTAAGACGCTCCCTGCTCTGGTGTGGCCGAGGGCATTCGGCCGGCGCCTCGGAGGTGCTCCGCGACCTCTTTCCCCGCTCCTCCGGGGCTGTCCGGGCGCCCTTGTCCCGTCAGAGGACACGGCGAGTCTCTGCGGACGGTGCTGCCCGCCGTCCCGAGGCCTTCGCAGAGGTGCGGCCTCTGCTCCCCTGGACATGGCCCCCTGCCGCACCGCAGGGCAGTTCCCGTTTCTCTCCCATTTCAGTACAGGGTGTGGGGGCATTGGTATCGCCCTTTGATCTCAATAGCAAAGTTACGCAGTACGATTTAGGTAAAGTGGTTTGCATGTTGCCATCCAAGCAGTGATACGGCTGATTTGTGTGGGTGTTGCTGGAGGCCATTTCTAGTGAGTTCTGCCAAGGCACGGTGCTTCTTACCAGTGACCACTTGTGTGCTTTGAGAGGGTCTTCTGCAGTAATTTCATGATTCGCTTTCACCTCCTGGGTGAGGGTTGTTTTTTGTTTTGTTCATGTTTTGTTTTTTAATGCTGTTTCCTGGCTTCTTTATATCTCTCTTTATGCCTGAGGTTTAATCTAAAACCTTGACCTTAAATGGTGGAATGAGTAAATTGAGTGAATCCTGTCACGGAAGCCCCTTTTGCAAGCTAGTAATGAGACGGTAGCAGTGTCATGAGAAGATTGCTGAACGATACCAACTTTACTGGCTGCTTGCGTTCCAGTACTTTATTAGTCTTAGTGCAGTCTTCCTACATGCCCCTGCTGTGGCCTGCTCCCTCATCTTCCCCAAGCAGGAGGAAAGCTGCTTGCATGGTTTCTGTAGTGGTGAGCAAGAGGAGTGGGCTGTGTCTGTCACTAGCAGAGCATCTCATCAGGAAGATTCAGTACTGCGTGGGGGTTACCTCTGGTTATCTCCTTATACTGGAGGAAGAGGAGTCCAAATGCCGTCTTGATTTGCAGTCTCTGCCATGAGCTGAAGTTCTCCAGAGGGAGCCCTTCTCTCTCCCTGCTTACCTGAAGAGAGATGAGATGAGTAGGGGACTACTAAGAAAGACCTGAAAGAGAATCTTCGCACTCCCCTTTTCTGGAGGCTTAACAGTATTCTGGTACTCTGTGAAAATATGCAAATTTTATTTTCATTGGGAGAATTAAAAAAAAAAAGTCATCAGTATTTTACAGACATTTGGTGGCAGATCTGATCTGTGGAATTTTGTTACTGCAGAAGGATGTGACATTCTTTTGATTTTCTATTTGATCTGCTTGTGTTCCTTAGAACCACCTTTGGTTTATTTTTTCCTTTGTGAGAAGCTGTTGCGCATAACTGAAGAGTCCAAGTTCCAGAAAGAATCCCTAAAGTACACATGTAATATAAACGCTGTAGGACTTGTTGCACTGCTTTACTTTTGTGATAATTTAGTTTGAGCTTTACATTCTTAATCTTGTTTTACATAGTGCCCAAAACTCTTCTTCACTCTTAGTTTTTGTTTCATCATTTGGAACATAGAAGCATAGAATAGTTTGGGTTGGAAGGGACCTTTAAAGGTGATACGAGCCCCCGGTAAGCAGCACACCTCTCTAGAGAGTGCGTCTGGTAATTGCATCTGGATAGATTGTGTCTAGGGATTGCGTCATGAGCTCTGCTAAATTGGCAGTGTAATTCCATGATTATTCTCTGTTTTCACCTGTGTTACTCATATAAAAAGGTGTTATCACACAGACAGATTCACATGCACCCTTTCTCAGGGCAGCTTTAAGCTCTGTGAAACCCCCATCCCTGTGCATTATAGCTATGGTATGTACAGATGATTCAGCTACCACTAAAAATGTTGTCTCTTAGTTTTAGTGTTGAAAATGTGAGTTAGTAAATAGAACAATAAGTTGTAATATTTTTACTATTTAAAAATAACCTTTCTTCTTTGTGTCAACCTATTGAACAATTGCATGTTTTTAGTAATAACAACATACAAGAGTAACCATTCAGTCTTCTTTCCTAAAATTATACTAGAATTTGTTGTATTCAAATAAACACATTAAACACTCAAGTACAAATTAGTATTAGAGAAAGTAAATAGAACTTATATTCTTCTGATTTTTTGCACATCAAAAATAGAATCAAAGAATAGTTTGGGTTGGAAGGGACCTCTAAAGGTCACCTAGTCCAAACCCGCTGCCGTGGGCAGGGACATCTTCTACTAGGTCAGCTTGC